GAAACTGAACTAGAGAAAGTCCCATTTTAACACCTGGTTACAGACCTCACTTTATTTTTAACAGACCAAACCCACACTCCAGCAGTCAGGAGGGTGTCTGTCACCCCTGTTCTGTATCCTTCTTAATTGTCCCGGCTCCAGGGTAGTGCTGTTCAGGGTCCAGTATCATCATTTTTAGGGACATTAGCACTTTTACTTCTGCTTGTGCCCTTTTCTCTCTAAGGTGGGGCTGGTATGTCCTTTCTATGGACCATTCTTCCCACCTGTGGATGATTTTACCACCTTGCAATGGCACCTACCAGCCTGGCAGACGGGTCAATCTAAGTGGGGCTTCTCAGGGGCCCAGCTTTTTTATTAATGCATGGCTGGGACTCTGGCTTTCCTACTTCTTCACTCACTCTTTGCACTGTCTCACCCTCCATCACCAAACTCGTACAACACTCATTGTTTAGATTCTGGTTTTTCTCTCAATTCTTACATTTAAAAATTTTAAGAATATATACATTGTATATATCAATTTTAAAACAGTTTAGGGGAGAAAATGGGAATCATTACCACATTAAATGATTCTTACTGGTTTCAGAAGTCTTAAAAAGGGAGTAAATGTGTGTCATTATCTGGAAATGTGGGGTATACACAGATTGTCTCCTTCTGGAGGGAAGGGAACCTCTGCCTCTTCTTCTTCTTCCATCAAGTTGATGTCTTAAAGCCGGATGCATGGTAGCCATGGGCCAATGACTCCTTCACTGATAGTTGAAGGACAGCATCATGGCCAGACAAGACCATTCATGAGCAAAAACCTCATCCCTAGACCTAAAAATGGAAGCCATTAGTCTCGAAAGTCATTGATTATCCAGGTTGAGGTATAGGGGAAGCTGGGGTTCTTGATTATATTTTTTCAGATTTTTTTTTTTTTTTTACCATGCTATACAGCATATGGGAATCTTAGTTCTCTGACCAGAGATCAAACTCACACCCCCTGCACTGGAAGAACAGAGTTTTGACCACTGGGCTGTCAGGGAAGTCGCAAGGCTGTGCTTCTTTAAAACTGGATCCTTCTTATCAAAAAGCACTTATCAATCCAAAAAAAACTTGATCCTTTCCTCAATAAAAATTACAGAACTCTTTGAAAGATGACAAATTCTGGATTAGGGGTGTCAAGAAACACAACATTTAATAGTAGATACAGCATATGTCTATGTGAACCATCCCACAGCTTTGGCCTGAATCCAGATGCAGGGGATGGAGGGTATGGTTTACTGGTGCTGAAGTTCAGTGACGGGAAGTGTGAGAATAGATTTTGTGAAGTCACAACTTAAGAGCTGGTTTCTTTTGGAGGGAGTAACATGCAAGTGTTCCTTGTTATTTCAAGTGTTATTTCCATAGGGAAGGAGTCGTGGCCTCTGTGATGGCCCTTCCTCCCATCTCTGCTCCCGAGTCTGCGGGCTCTCCCACCCCTAAAACAACTAAATGTCCAGAAAAGGGCCAGATGGGTCGTCCTTGAGATAACATACCTGGCAGCGCCAGGACTCATGCAGGGACTTGCATGAGTCTGACAGCCTCTCTTACCTCACTCTAGTTTCAGCCCTGATGTGTGATAATGCGCTGAAAGTCATAAAATACAAAAGAAACAGCCCTGCGTTCCAATATCTCTTCTTCTGGGAAGAGATATTCCAACATAACTTCCAACCACATCCTGGACCATACTGTTGCTTTAACAGATTACTGAGGTCTTCTTTCTGCCATCTGCACACAGCATCCCAGGGGCCAGCTAACTACCAAGGTTGTAACTGAACTCCTTTTCTCTATCTTATCCTCCTTAGGGCTGTGCTCCATAGAGGAGAGGAAGCCAGAGACCCGGTCTTGGAACGTGTTGAAACACGATGGGTGTTTCCCTGCTGCTGCAGCCTTTGTCACCAAGCAGTTCAGTCTGGAGTAAGGGGACGGTGGCACGATTTGTTGGGAGCTGGGCAGCTTGCTCCCATTTTTAAGCAGCTTGGGCGCTCTGCCCTCTGCTGCCCTCTGTGGCCAAAACTTCAAGGTCTCTAGAGACACTGAATCCGGGGCTCACTCGCTCTCTCTCCCCGCCATCATCTCATGAAGCTTTTCTCCTTTAGTTCTCCATAGGCTTTAAAAGTAAAATGGGACACTCTAGCCACAAGCCTGCATCTGGTTTATTCTCTCAGCTCCTTCCTGCAAAAGTTGTTGAACTGAATCCTGGAAGAAATCTTAAGAGGTCATTGGGTCCCCCAGCTCTGCTTTAAGCAAGACTGGCTGCAACCCTTCTGGGAATTATATAGGCTTTGGCAAATCTCATACTGCCAAAATCCTAGGTTCTTCAATGTTACTCACTGGGATTTCCACAAAATCTGCATAATTGTTTATCTTAGTTTGGGACCTTTCACTTAGAGGGCAAAAATCCTGATTAGAAAGATGGGCAGGCTGGCCATGAGAAAGATCTGTTAATATGGTTGGTGTGTTCTTGTCTGATGCTTTACCTTTCTTCTTCTTTTTTTTTTTGTTTGTTTGTTTTTTAACACAAGTTAATTTCCTAAGCTCAACCTTGTTGAAATGTTCTCTTTGGGTTGGAGGTGTCACTTTGCTACCAGCAAGCACAACTGAGGACTTAGATATTTCTCCTTGCTCTGGGAATGCAAGGCTTTGGGCATCTGAAAGTCGTCAAGTACCTGTTTCTTTTCCCACTCCAGTCCCAAGTGAGGTGAGTAAGCTTACTGCTAACTAATGGAGAACTGTGTCTCACCAATCCTTTGGCTGGAGAAGTCCAATATGAAATTAACTCGTTACTAAAACCCATCGAAGAATTGATGCTTTTGAACTGTGGTGTTGGAGAAGACTCTTGAGAGTCCCTTGAACTGCAAGGAGATCCAGCCAGTCCATCCTAAAGGAGATCAGTCCTGGGTGTTCATTGGAAGGACTGATGCTGAAACTGAAACTCCGGTATTTTGGCCACCTGATGCGAAGAGCTGACTCATTTGAAAAGACCCTGTTGTTGGGAATGATTGAAGGCAGGAGGAGAAGGCGACGACAGAGGATGAGATGGTTTGATGGCATCACCAACTCAATGGACATAAGTGGGTAAACTCCGGGAGCTGGTGATGGACAGGGAGGCCTGGCGTGCTGCAGTTCACGGGGTCGCAAAGAGTCGGAGACGACTGAGGGACTGGACTGAACTGAACACCCACCAACACCAAGAAAATGTTCCCTAGAGGGATTTGCAGTTTTTTGTTTGAATTTCCCAACTGTCGGGCCTATTTGATTTCAAAGTCTGTGTGCACAGTGCTCAGCGACCCTAGGAAAATGAGGAAATATGCCTGCTTCCCCAGTTCTCTGCTGGTTTTTTCACCTATTCCTATTCTGCTTGCCAGTGCCTTCCAAAAGCTCCTGAAAGGAACTCCCACCCCTCTTGCAGGTTGCCAGGGGGAAACACGTTTATTTTGTATTTTGGTGGTGACACAAACTTATACCAAACAAACTCTTCTTATGTATCTTATTTCTTGACATTTCCTTTTGTATTATGTTTTAAAAAGCATAAACACCCCCTTGACCATTTTAAGCATACAATTCAGTATTGTTAATACATTCACATTGTTCATCGTCTAGAACTTTTTCATCCTGCAAAACTAAACCTCTATGCATATTAAACATGAATCCCTCATACCACCCCCTTCTGGTTTGTTTCTTCTATGAATCTGACTAGTTTAGAAACTTCAAAAGTGGAATCACACAGCATTTGCCTTTTTGTGACTAGCTTATTTCACTTAGCCTAACAGTACTGAAGATGCCTTATGCAAATGGTTTTTGTATAAAATGTGGGGAAGCTAAGGGGGAAAAAGGAAGAGCAAGGCTTAGGGTCCCAGGGTGGACCAGTTCCGCCACCCTTGCTTTCTCTTCAACTCACACCTGTGAAACCCGTGCGCCCTTCTCAAATGAGCTTCAAAGATTAAAATCCTCCCGGTCCCTTCCAGAAACATCCCTGCTGGCTCGCCGCCATGTAGGTAGGGAATAGGGTGGGATTCTTGGGAGAGCAGTCAGCGGCAGCACAGAGCACGGGATCTCCAGCGGGCGCAGGTCCCCGGCAGCGCCGCAAGAGCAGCTGGAAAACCTTGGGCTCTGACGGCCCCTGGACCTCTGATCTCCCTACACCTGCAGTCTTTTCGTTACCAACTGGACCGCGGAGATACAATGAGCAGCCCTGAAATTATGCGATTTCAGGACACGCTGTCAACTCTTATCCCGAGATCACGCTGTAAAGCCAGACTGCTTCTCCGATTCTGAACTGGCCGGGACCCGCGCGGCGGTGGCCAGGAGTTGGGAGCTGGGCGCGGCAAGCCAGACCGCCCTTAGGACCTTCGATCAGGTATCCCCTCCAGCTCGGCGCAACCCCGCAGGCAACTGACGTGCCAGGTGAAGGAAGAAGAGAAGAGCAGAGGCAGCAATAACTCCATTTCACTGCACTGTTTCCCCGGATCCGACAGGCAAAGTGATCGGTCTCCCTGCCTCTCTCTTTTGGGACTGCTAAGCTAGCTGCGTTCTGCCGGAAAAACACATCGCCCAGACCGAGTGCGCGGCGTTTGGGGACATCTGAATTATCCCCCACCCCGGGCCCGATGTGACAGGCAGCGGGGCGAGGGACGCGGGAGCGCGGCAACGCCGAGCGACTCCACGAAGCGCGGCACCCTGGGCGCTCGCGGTTGAGCCCGGGTCCCAAGGACAGGGCAGAGGTGGGAGGACCCCGGCTTACGGGGGCACAGCCGCTCCTGCAAGTATCCCCCCGAAACCCAGTCTTCGCTGCTGCTCAGCCCCACCAAGGTGCGCCTCCTCGGTGCGGGGTCCCACCTACCTCCCGCCACCCCGCCGACCTCATAAACAACTTCGCAAACCGCAGAGGGCGGAGGCGGGGCGGGCGGGCCGACCCCGCCGGCCGCCGGAGTTTTTAAAGTGGGCTGACCGCCCCGCGAGCCGGACATTCGGGAGCGGCCCGACGCACGGCTCCGGCGCCCGCCGCCTCCCGCCCCAGCTTTCCTGAGGCGGCCGTACAATCCTCGGCAGTGTCCTGAGACTGTATGGTCATCTCAGCCTCCGCGTCTGCCCGGCTCCGGACTCTGCCAACTCCCGTCGTTTTCAAGCCACTTCTTGTATTTTGAAAACCCAGAAAAGCGACTCCTGACTCCTTTTCGAAGGAAAAAGAAACTTCAGCCCCCTGCTCGCTGCCCCCCGCCGCCCACTTTTTTTTTTTTTTTTTTTTTTTGTTTGACAGCGTCCTTCCACTCCTTTCCCGACCCCGCCTCCCGGCGCAGGTTCCTCCCCGTCACCTTTCTCCACCCCCTCCCCCGCACCAAGCCTGCCGCCCGCAACTTCCACCTGACCGTGCGGACGCTCGGGACCTGCGAGCACCTGGCACCTTTCACACCGGCGTGGGCCTCGAGGAGTGGGCTAGGGCCACAGCGAAAGTAGCGGCTGCAGCCCCCGCCGGCCCTGGAGCTCAGGTACTCGGAGCCTCATAGGGCCCCAGCGACAATGACAGCTGACAAGGAAAAGAAAAGGTAAGCAGGCGTCCGAGCCGGCAGGGGAGTTGGTCCGGGGTTGGGGTGGCGGGGCTCCCCGCGGGACCGCCGCTGGGAGAGGAGCGCCGAGGGGACTTTGAGGACCCAGGGATCGATTTGGAAGGTTTGGCAGGGGAGCGCAAGTGTCCAGTCTGGGGACACGCCGCTCGGGCTTCGCGGTCGAGAGTTCTGTGGCCCGAAGGAGTCTGGAATCTGCGCCGGGAATCTGACAACGAGGCCAGGAAATGGCCCTAGAGGTCGGAGGTGCTCCCGAGGTACCTTCCAAAATCCATCCCCCTCCAAACCCCGCGCCAAACTCACGCGACCCGTGTGTTGAAACGTTTCTTGGTTGACTCGCTCAAGTCAACTTTTCGACTTTCTCACGGCCCACTTGAGGGACAGCATCCACTCTTTTCCTCGGGACCCGTGGGGTCCTTCTAAATGAGCTCTGCCCGCGCTGCCTCCCGGAACTGGCAAGGGGCCGGAGGCAGAACGCGGCGCTGGCACGGGCCCCGGCAGAGCGGCCAGGGCGCAGCGAAGGGACCCACTCCAGGGCTCCAGACCCCACGGAAGCTGGGAAAAGTCCCTTTCCTGATCCCGCACCTTGCCTTGGCGGGGGAATGGGTAGTGGGCCCAGCTGCCTCTCGGAAGCAGCCGTCTTCGTGCGTGGGGAGGGGATGGCGACACCGGGCACCCGCGGCAGGTCCCCATGTCTCTCCCAAGAGGACAGAGAAGGGCAGCCACGACCTGCCCGCCTGCCCTCGCCAGCCTCTCGGCACTGGGTGAGAGGCAACGCGGGCCAACTCTCTCTGCCCTCCTGCCCTCTCCCGGCGAGGGTGAGAGCGCGCGGCGTGGCGCGCAGACGTGGGAACCACCTTGCCTCCTGCAGTCGAGCGCGGCTTGCAGCCTGGCTCCCCTCTCCTCTCAACCTCCACTCATGCCGCCCCAGCGGGCTGGAGCTCTCGGCCCGGTATTCGACGGTGGCTGGCGGGGCTGGGGTGCGGGGAACTGTGATCGAATGCGTGCTGGGCCGGCTGAAGGACCTGAGCCTCCGGAGATCAACTGCTGGGGGGCTGTGCGGTGGTTCGGAGATGAGGAACCCAGCCGCGATGGGCAGGCGTGACCGGCCTCGAACCCGGGAGCCCGAAGAGCTCAGTGCTTGGGTCGATTTACTCGTGTTCCGACTTCGGGACCGGAGCCAGAAACCATGTATCCTCTGGTCGAAAGCGGCCGTTCCCACCTCGGGGCACCGATAAGGGTTTGATAAACGGGAGCAAATCGCGCCCTTTCTGGCAGAGCGCCCGGGCCCTTCGCTCCCGGATTGCCGGGGTGGAGGGGAGAAGGGGAGGAGATTGAGTCTTAACTGCGCGTTTACGGCCGCAGCTGCCCCTCCCGCGTCACTGCGGCGGCCCCCTGGCCTGAGATGGCTAAGGGAGTCTAGCTCCGGCCGATCTGGGCCCCGGAGACCGCAGCGGGCGCGCGCCCCGGGAGGCCTCGGAGCAGCCCTGGAGTCTTCTGTCTTTGAAAGGCAGCGAAGCAGGGAAGGGACTTTAAGGTTCCAAGCATTTTGTAAGCCCAGTATAGCCTGCCAATAACAATGATTGAACAGTCAAAAAACAAAGTTATAGTCAGCTCCTCTGCGCGCACGCTGGGCTCCGGAGCCGGTGAGGGAACTTATTGTACACTTTACAACTGTGATGCCTATCGGCTAATGTTGCAATCGTGGAGGTGGGGCCTGACGGTAGTCTTGACACATGTGTGAAGCGTCAGTTTCTCCCGCGCGGCTGTGCGCGGGTTCTGTGCTGTTACATATGTTAATCGTTTCAGGAAACTTGGGAGCAGTGGAGAAGTTATTTCAACATACCTGACTGTAGTGCCTCTTTTGCTAGGGATAGAGGGAGCCAGAATCGGAGCTGGAAGAAAGTTGGGTAATCAGGCTCTGAATTATTCGCGAGAGCTGCAGGTTTAAGAACCACTGTGGGGATTGCCTGTGAGATGTCTAGGAGGCCAGAGCCGGTGGCCCTGCCTGTCTGCTTTGCGACTTGCTTTGGTTTTTATGTCGCAGACCGGCAGGGCAAACATTTGTGTCTCTCACCATCCGGAGTCCCGTGAGAGGCTGTCCAATTCATGTTGGGCTAAGTGTTTTGAGATATATTTACTTTTCTAGCCTGGCTCTGTTTGCTGGGGGCAGGCTCCTTGAAGGACCAAGGTATAATTAAAATACGTGAACCAGTGCATTAAAAGTTGGTGTGTCATGTAAGTGGTGATCCTTAGCTTTGCCGGAGTGCTTCACAAGTTCTGTATGAGGCTTTCAGGTTAGGATTCTGTGTATAGATTCTCAAGATGCGATTCTTCTGGTTCAGCAGAGTCTTTTCTTCCCCCAGATTCAAGATGCACGGAACATTCGCAGTGTTCTAACAATAGTCGTTCAAGAAGTGGGCAGGATTGTTTTGTTCCAGAACATTCATGCGTCGATGGAGACGTTAATGTTTAATAATAAAGAGTTTACTTTCTAAACTTTTGGCTGGCCTTGACAGGGTTTCAAAGTGTGCTTTTTTTAGTGGTAGTGGGCATCCCTCTGATATCAGAGATGGCTGGAACCCGAAACTTGCTAAGGGCGCTGCACTCGCTTTCTGCACTCACCTGTCAGGAGTGAAGTGAAGGTCCCTTTAATCAGGATTCCTGGGTGTGAAGAACTAGAAACTGTCTAAGCTACTCACTTCCTGATCAGACAATTTTTGAGTCCCTTCCCTGAAAGACAAAATAGTCTGGAAGTTCTTAGGTACATGGGGATTGGAGAGTGGTTTGGATAAATGTAAATCAGATCCTTGGATGCTCAGGGATCAAAATCTATTCCCAAAGCTAGACAGCTCAGAGCTCCTTCCCTGAAGGCTTCTATTGCTTAGTGTAGGGCCTCCGTGGAAAGAGGATCAGAAATCTCCTCTCCTGCCCCTGGATGTAGTTGTCCCTCTGCTAAAGTAAAATCAAAGTCCACCTCTTATTCAAATCTAAGGCAGTTTTTCTCAATGTAAATATATTTTCTATAAACATTCCTTTAACATCTGATCTCTCTTTCCAATTACATTACTAGGTAATAAGAAATTGATGTAACACAGTATAGGTTCAGGTGAATAAAATTTAACTCACACAGCTTTTGTGAAGTTCAAAAGAATGCTGTGACTACAGGTTTTTTCAATATTGCTTATGGGACTCTTACAGTTTTATGCAAGGACTATTCCCTAGTGGAGAAGATTTCTTTGTGAAGTCGAGAACTACCTGTCAGTGGAGACATCCAAGAGGGTACTAGGTTGATTCCTGTACTGAATAAGCTGGCAGTTTCACTAGGAGTGAAAACCATGAGATAAAACTGTTTAATTCACTTCAAATGTATATCAGTCATTCTTTCTCTCTCTCTGTCTGTGTGTGTGTGTGTGTAGGGTGATCCTCAATGTTCTAGGAATCTATTCTGTAAAATGTTTACAAATAGAACAGAACCAATTAGATAATTCTTAGTACTCCAGGATTTTAGCCCAATACATTTGACAATATTTGCTGTCATTAATTATCTTAAGATTTAGGCTTTTCCACTTCTCAGGAAATCTCTCCAGTACTACTGGTAGTACTGGTTCCCCCCACCCCCCTGCCCCCTCAGTTCTGGCCCATACCAACATGACTTTTTGTTTTAGCCTGATGAATCTTCCCTTTTGTGCTTGGTACTGACCTTCATTTATAGTTCATAGCAGGTAAGGCTTTTGCCAATATTGTGAAGTTGGCAGTGTTTGCCCCCAGGATTCCCAGTACCCTTTATCCTCACTCTCCCAGTACTAATGTCTAGTGTCTTGATGAAAATTAGCTCTGTTGTTCATACCATGGTATAAACCAATATGAAAGCGAATGTGTATGGAACACCTCCTCCCTCTCTGGATAAAATGTTGAGGAGACGTTAAGGAATAAGGGATTTGGTCTTGGTCTTCAAGTTATGTAGTTTGTTTAGGGGGAGGGAAGGACACACAAGGAAGCTTACCTAAAAATATAGGCAGCTGGCAGTTTACTTGTCACTTTTCTATCGAGGTCAAATCTTTTGAAGCAAAAGAAGTTCTTAATCACATATAAGCATAATTATTGAAAAGTACAGTGTGTTTGGGAGTGGCAGAATGGGTTCCTAGTTTCCCCTGGAATCACACAGTAGAGGCCCTGATTCCAGCATAAAGACTGGCTCTGAGTGAAGGTCAGACACAGATAGTGTCAGAAGTGATGAGAAGTAGAGGGTTCAAGAGTATCCCTGGGGTGTTCTCCGACACCATAGACAGAAGGGCCCCCAGAATTGAATGTTTGCTATTTTTTGCACACTCTCTTTGGTGAGGGGCATGAAGGGAGGCACCTAGTAGGGGTCTGGGAGTGATGGGGTGGAGATTCTGGTCCCATTAAGGGTGATCGTGGAGACAGCCAAGACTCTAGGAAGACCCAGAAGGGAGAGGGAACTTCTTAATCTGGGCTTTGTGAGTGGTCTTCAGAGGGTGGTCTGTGAGTCTCTGAATGGCTGCTAGTGTTAGGGATATAAGTATTATTCCCCCCAGGAGAAGTCAGTTCAGCACTGATAGCCTTTCATAAGTTCTGTGATCTGGAGAAGGTGAGCCCTTGCTCTTGGATGTCTGATTTGGTGATTGCCCTACCTTTCAGGGTCTTACTGTTCAGGTCTCAGAGAGGTCCACATTTCACCACCAGTGTTTCTCCCTCCCTTGGAGATGGGGGAGGAGGTTGGCGTGTGCATCTAGTTAAAATCCTGTAGTGTGACTTAACCTTACCTGTACCCACCTGTCTGTCAACCCACACATCTGCCCTTGGTAATGGGGGGATGGGGAGCCCAGTGCCCTGCACAGGCTTAGTTCTCATGTGGTTCATTTTGTTACTGCTTCTTAAAATGGCCATGAAATTTTATCTTCACATTTTCCACCATCCTCAAACAGTTATTGGAGGTCTTTTTACATACTATGAATCTG